GCCATGTTCAACCAAGCCGGCACTGCATTGAGGTGCCCACACAGCAACGCTTTGCTGCAACAAATGCTAAACCAGGTGAACTCGATGTTTGGCTTTTCACAGCCTGTTTTCCACGTCCCAGCTGGCCATCCAAACGTATCAAGACAAACATGACAATGGTGCCTTCTTTGTCCATTCAATGGCGGGTCATGGAATTGCGGTTTGGCAATGGGATTCCGGGCTGCAGGGCTGTTGAAGCTCGCGCCGTTATGCAGGGCTGTTGCTCGCACGGGCCGTGGCAGGGCTGCAGCTCGCCGCGCCCACAATGAGTCAAAGCTCTCGGGCTGACTCACTCCTGACATTTGGTAACCAGCGCTCCTACGTGAGCCAGTCTGCGCTGGCCTCCATCCTGGATCATGTGCGACAGCACGGGCTTCCGGAGGCAAGTTCACGCAGGACCATCAAAAGAAAGCGAGCTGAGGAGTTGAAGCAAGACACACTTGGCCCCCTGTGGGTTGAAGCAGAATTACAAATGAATGACGGGTCGGTAGAGCGCTTCCCCATGATCTCACCAGCAGCGCACTTGGCCTTGGCCACAAGCCGCAGCGAATCGTTTGCAAAGTTTATTTCGGGACTACCCGATAGCTCTTCCAACGCGCCGCTTCGTCTTGTTGTCTACAGCGATGAGGTGACACCTGGCAACCCCTTGAAGGCCTCTAACCGCAGAAAGCTGGTTTGCTTTTATTGGACACTATTGGAGGCAGGGAAAGCTATTCACAACGAGCACCTGTGGTTCAACTGCTTCACCATACGGACGAGTCACGCCCAAAGGGTTGCGGGAGGTGCAGCTCAGCTTTTGCGGGCAGTTGCGTCGTCATTCTTTGTCAACCCGCATTCATTTGCTGATGGGCTTCTTTTGCCACTGGCTGGCCAGCCAGGTCGAAAGCTTCTGCATGCCAGGGTCGGTGTCAGTGGGTGATGAACTTGCACTCAAACAAATGCTATCCTTCAAAGGAGCTAGTGGCATTATGTTTTGCTTCTTCTGCCAAAACGTTTGTTCGGCGAGTTCTCGTCTGCATCACTTCGATACTACTGGCAGGCTAGTGCCCGGCACTGAAATCAACACGGGAAAATTTGTGTTGGCAACCGACGCAACTATAATGCAAGGCGCCCGCCTGTTGCGCGAACAGAAGCCAATTTTGAACAAGTCCGCATTTGAGCGCTTGGAGAAGAGCATTGGTCTTGTGTTTACACCGGAGGGCTTCCTGTTTGATGACAACGCCGTCTCTCACCAACTTATCAAAGGGCCAGTGAGCTGCACCATGTTTGACTGGGTTCACACCTTTTTGGTGAGCGGAACTTGGGGCATCGAGGTTGGGGCGTTAATGGAAACGCTAGAGAAAGAGGGCATTTTGTCCAACGAGAGGGCTCACCAATACTTTGCTGAATTCCAATGGCCAACACGACATGACAGCTCAGTGAACAGTCGGCAGATCTTTGAAAAAAGAAAGGGAGCATCCTCTGGAGAGATGCGTTGTTCTGCCAGCGAAGGGCTCGGAGCCTACGCCGTGATCAGGTGCATGCTGATGGAAGTTGTGATTCAGCCAGAACCCCATATTCAGCAATGTTTGGACTCTTATTATCAACTAGCGCGTGTCCTCGACCTGTTACAAGACATGGTGCGTGGGAAAACCATTGTTGATGCGCTAGATCAAGCAGTTCGACATCATTTTGCTCTGTTCCAGCTGGCTTATGGCACGGACCTTGTCATCCCGAAGCATCACTTTGCTCTTCATTTGAGCTCCGCGCTTCGACTTCATGGAAATTTGGTGGGGACGTTTGTCCTAGAAAGAAAGCATCGCGAGGTCAAACGATTCGGCAACAACAACGCCAATGCTTCTCAAAGCGCCAGCTTCGAAAAATCCCTTTTGGAATCTGTGACCTTGACGGGCCTTCGATACTTGGAAGAGTTTATTCCACCCGGGGATGTGGCCCTGATCGACCCAAAGCCAGCATCCAACACCTTGAGTACCCACGTGCGAAAACTCTTGAGAGTGGATGGCGAGATCGAAGCTGCAGAAAAAGCATTTTTCAGAACAATGGAAACGGTGGCAAGAGGGGACGTGGCTGTGTCGAACATTGGTGGCACAATTTCGGTGGGAGAAGTGTGGCTACACGTTCGGGCAAGCGCTTCCTGCTTTACATGTTTTTCACCATGGGTCGCCAAGGGAAACAACTTCTTCGAGGTGACCGCTGACCCTATTTTTATCCCCATGAGTTGCATAGAGAAGGTTTGCATTTTCAGGAGACGCGGGAACGAGGCACTTGTGGTACCGTGAAGAAACGCGAAGAGAAAGCGGGCGGATGATGCTGGGCTGGGGGGGGGGGGGGTACATCAGGGGAACCATCTTCAAATATGGACGGCGGAAAACATAGAATACAAAGGTTGGTCTCAGTTTTTGGACCCAATGATGCTTGAATGTTGACCTCATATGGGTTTGTCTTGTTTGAGGGCCCGTAAAAGGTGGTATCTGTTTGGTGTCCCTTTAAAACCAACCACCAAAAAGGGTTCTCAAGGTTTGGGAGACACTTTGAATGGCCACAGAGATCTGGATGGACGGTTCCGCGGCCACTCAAGTGCCATCCCTGAAATCCATATCCCTATAGTTTGTTTTGTTGGCTTTTTGGAAAACATGTGCGGGGTGGAGAACAGCTGGTCGGTTCTTCGCACTTAACGCTTGGCCCCAATCAAGCCCTTTCCCCGGGTCACTGATAACACTGCAAGTCTCATATGTTTGTCAAAGATTCGTGGTTTTCCCAAATTTCAGACCTTGAACACCTTTAACTTTGTGGTTTGCCCCAGCGTTACCAAAACTTTAAAGATCTTCAAAGGCGTAACAAGGTCACACTAGAATAACACGCCTAATAAAAGTTAAATTTGTGTTCCGGCGCTCTATGATGGCATCCATTTGTCGTGCAAATTGCGTGCTTGACCGATGCAAATATGTGGATGCCCTTTGAATCGAACTTGTTACAAGAGATAACTTATTTGGGCACCCATGTGTATATGCATATATAGTTGTACAGTTGTATGAAAAAAGTCTATGTGTATATAGTTATATATGTACGTTGCTGAGTTTGTCTATCAATATGACATCGGCATGCCTCACCCCAACCCACCCGCTTTTCCGTGGGCGCTCCGCCGATTTGCGACCGGCCAGGCTGCCGCAGCTGGCCAGCGCGCACGGGCACCATGGGATGCATCCCGGGGAGATGTTGCTGTTGCTGTTTGTTGGTGGCGGTGGTGGTGGTGGCGGTGCGTGGTGTTGGTCAGCTGTTCACTGTTGTCTGATGTTTGCCGTTGGGTTGCTGTGTTGTTGCATCTTGCTGTTTGCTTCAACAGTTGGCCTCCCCATTTAGCTTCAAAACCCAAAAGGCATACATATGGGGTTCTCTTTTTGCGGGGCACATTTGTTGTTGGCTTTAAGAACAAGAGGGGACTGACCACATTTTCCGCTTTTTTAAGACACAGCCACATCGAAGGTGGTCCGTTGATGTTTGTTTTTCTTGGGGACACATAGCTTGAGAAACTTGTTCTTGACTTTGACCCCTATATGTAAGCATTCAAACGTGCAGTTTTGACCCTGGATATTTGGCGAAACCCCCGTCAAAACGCAGACACGTTTAGCCTAATTCAGAATCCAGGAGCGTTTCTATCTCATTTCTGGGCGAACATCACAAGAACGAGCCACATTGCACATGGGTGGTCGCGAGGCCTCCAAGCCACTAAAGAAAACATACGGCGATGGCAAAAAAGAAGCCAACCAAAGTTGCGAGAACTTCATCAAGACCAAACCGTTTGAAGCAACTTGTGCGTCTCGCGCGCGTGAGTGTGTGTGTATGTGCATGCGTGCAAGTGCGCACGTGCATCGTATAACTTGGAATATTACAAAAAAAACACAGTATACGTGACGTGATTGTGTTATGTTTCCCTTCAAGTGTTTTGGGTTCTGAGTTCTGGGGATGCACATGGCAGTTTCGAGGAGCGCGCGCAAATGTGCCTCATGCTGTTGGGGAAATCACTTGAGCTGGGCTTATTTTGGCTTGAGCGTCTGGACATGGAATGTCGGATAGCCAACGGCAAGCATCGGCGGCTGACACTTAGCGCATGTAGACACATGAGCTAAGTCTGACATAGCGGTGGAGCTAAGTTTGACTTAGCCAAGCGCGGTAAGTCCAACTTACCGCAGTTACTCAAGCACTTTAAGTTGCACATACAAGTACAGTAAGTGCTGCATCTATTTGCAACCACACCCGCCCATCCAAGTAAGCAAAAGGGGCCTCAGACCTTTGCTTCGCTTCATGAGTTTGAATGGAAGTTCCATCTAAAAGGTCGAAGAGGCCTTTGGGGTCGTGCCAAAGACCAGCCATGCTGTATCAGTGTGTGACACTGTAGGAAACCATCTCAGAATAAAACATTTGCCCTCAAAAAACGACAACCCCAGATTCCCCTCTTGAACCTTCTTAGTCCCTTGCTGAATTCAACTGTAGTAGGCTGTGCCATACTTTTCTCAACAGCTAAAGGCTAAAAGTCTAAGGAACCGTATGACAGGGAACGACCAAACCGCCAAGAAACATCACCCCATGAGACAAATCAGCTACACTTGGCTATTAAGGGGATGCGGGATGCTTTAAACTGGCCTGAAAGGGGGAAATATGTCGGGCTTTGCTCGCTGTGCCGAGCAGCGCTGGGCGATTCAACCCCTGTAATTATGTTGAAACCAGGGTTCTTGAAACCAACACCTCGAGTTTCCCAGCCAAGGGAAACGTGCTTTCAACAGGACAGAAACCAAGGGTTTTGGCGGAGCATGTCCAGGCGAATCTCCAAGAGATGGTCTGTCAGCCAACTCCTGACCAAGCAAAAGGTGACTATATCAAAAACATGTTTTGCATGTTCTAGTTTTCATAAAGGGGAGCCTGCAACAAGCGAATCCTGCGATACCCTCGCTGGGCCAAAGCGCCCGCTCTGCCCGCCGGCGTGCTGCCAGGGACTCGCTGCGCGCGCGCAGCCGCGCGCGCTCCTCGTCGCTCAGGCGCACTGCCGGCGGGGTCTGTGGCGCCTGGCGCGCGTCTGGGCACAAGGAACCCCACTGCGGATGAAACTTTGAAGCCATGGGAAACCATTGGGTCGGTATTGGGGAATCGTCGTTGGGTTTCTTAGGTGGTGCGAAATGGATTTCGTCCACAGTATTTGGCAGTTCCACTGCTTGGCTCCGCAATGGCATTGAACCCAGACAGCTGCAAATGAACTTGGAACCCAAGCTGGGGTGGTCTTGGTTCCATGTTCATCTGTAGTGTAAGCCAACATGGAGGACATAGCTGGCTCAAAATTCGCGACTAAACGTAGATGTCTATTTCCTGCGACGAGCAACAGAAAACATGAACGCAAAAAACACCAAAGCAATGTTGATGTCGAACAAGTCAACAAGGAACGCAACACCCCCAGGTTTCCAGAGGTTGATCCCCCTTCTTTTCAATCATCGTCTCTCCAAGAGCCAGCCAAATTCCCTGGACGCTTGGTGGTGTTCTGGAAGGAAGTATCCCTGGGTTCAGAATTGTTTGAATTTTCCGCTAGGTTTGGAGCCGAATGGATGAAAGTCACCCGCCTGAAGGGCAGCACAGCTCTGCTTGAGCTGGCTCTTCTGCTGCCTCCAGGCATCCATCTCCTCAGCAGTCATTATGTCATGGGGGAACCCGTCTGGGCATGCGTGGGCCACACAAAAAAGTGCGTGCATTCAGCTTCCATTTTTTCCTGCTCGAAGACCAAACACCCTGCACAAAGTATTATAATTCACTCCAACAACTCTTTGAAGGCTTTTATCAATCACTGCCTTGCATTGCTCCCTTCTGGGCGTGATTCATCACACGCCTTACAAATCGTGAACTAAGGAATCCTGAGGCAAGTTCAAGAGGCGGGTTTCTCTAGGGGGGCCAAAGGAAGACGAAATGCTGCTTTCCCCCCCCCAACGCGCCCCTTCCCCGCTTGCGACCCACACTGCCCTCCTGTTGTCCGGGTTTCTCATTTCTACATAGAGCTACAGAAGCACTTTTCAGCAAGGAAAAGCATTGTGACAACTTGTCAGCACCAGTACAAGCCAACCTGGGCCAACCCAATGCCAAATCAAATCCCCCGCCTGCTTCTGCCTCTCCCGCTCCTTCCGCCGCCTTTCCTTCAAGGCTGGACGATTCAGCTTCTTGTTTTAATTTAGACCACCGCAAACAACAAAAACAAGAGTACCCACAAAATTCCTGACACACCCATATCCGGGTCTCTCAAAGTGGTGGACCCTTGTTGGGTAATTTTGAGTGCAACAACCGTTGCCATTTTCGGAAACCGATTCCTATTCTGAGAAGCACCCATTGTCATACTTGCCATTTCTTGTGGCTACTCTCTTTGGGGGTGGGTTAAACCACATCTTCAACCAGCATATTCAGAAGGGTGGCTTTCATTTTGCTTTAACCAAAAAAGGCAACCCGCAAAAGGCTTCACAAAGCATCAGCCCCTCGCCCCCTGCCTCCGCCTTCTCCCGCTCCGCCGTGAGCGCCGCCTCCTTCTCCGCCACAAGCGCCGCTTCCTGCGCGCGCTGCTGGCGCCAGGCCTGGCATCATCCGGAAAAGTCTGAGGAGATCTGGATACACCCCACAGAAACACCTGTGAGCCACAATCAAAACCCGGGTAGATGAAGATGAGTAAGGGCCGCCTATGGTTCTGGGTTCACCATTTTTGTACCAGGCTTTGATTGTGACTCATCTGAGGATATCGTGATAGACCACAGACCATCCTTTCACTCTTCAGGAAACACCCTACAAGAATCCACCTGGCTGATGAATGGGTCAACATGCGAAAACGACCCATGGACCATGTACGATGTTACTAAAAGCGGCAGGAGGATGGAACAAAGATAAGTCCGCCTCAAAAGGGCAGCTACTCAAACTGCCCTCTGCTTTGGGGATGTGAACTTCAATGGGAAACTGGCCCAACACTGGGTCTCATTAGTTCACCATGGCCAAAAACATCAACTAAGCGGTGGGTTTGAGTGAAACTTACCAGCCAAAATAATCGTGAACATGATAACCCCGGTAGAAAGTACCCGGAACTTATCTTGGAACACCTAGTCCCAAAAACATGATACCCTTAACAAGGGGCCGACTGGGTTTTCATGTAGGCCACGGGAATCTTGCGAGTAACCTCCAATTCTTGACAATTTTGTGAACGCCGTCCTGCAGTGAGAATGATGTTGAATGTTGCTCATTTGGGCATGTACCCCCGAGTGCGGTCGGTCACCCCTCCGCAACCACGGGGGTGTCTCTCAAGGGAGTCGAACAACACACCCAAAAAAAACACGGGGAACGAAGCCATCGAAACCCCAAGGCCACAACACCCGGGAATCTCCTAGGAGTCCAACCCCCCTTTTTGGGCTCCTTCCGCGAGTTTGAGGGTGATCCTCTCCAGTCTACTAGAAACGTCAAAACCTGAAATTTGGGGAAGTTGCCAGCCAAGTCAGTCAAGTCGAATCAAGGACCTAGACCACGGCTCTTGAGCTCGTCTTCGGCTGAGCTCGCCAGATTTCCCGTCCGAGCCCTGCCTCCACCTGCCGCTTCTTCTCCGCTCGCTGCTGCCTCTGTGCCTCCTGCGCCGCCTGCTGCTCCAATTGCTCCTCGCAAGAAAGACTATGACTCTGCGTTGCTTTGAGGCTAACCTTCTTGGGGTCTGATCAACGGAAGGGAACCCATCATATTTGGGGGTCCCAGTTTTAACACACGCACACACACAGAAACAATTAATAACCTGAAAAAGGAAAAAGCTGGTTGCCAAAAAGCAAATATGGAACAATTTATGGAACCCTTGCTTTCACAGCGTGACCTTTGCCGCTTGAACATCGACTAAAAGGAGGGAGGGGCTCTTGGATATTTCCAAATGCACCACCTACCCAATGTGAGGTTGTTTAAAACAATTGCGGGGGTGGGGGGGGGGCGTTTTGGAGGGTTTATGTTGGACACCAAAGGAACACCCATCCCCTCCAGGTGCTCACACGCAACAACACAAAATAGTAATTCCCCTTCGAAACAAAAGAAAACACTGTAAAACAACACAATTGTTAGGCTACGACCTACTTCCCCACCCACCCCTGAGAAATAGCATTGAATACCAGCGTCTTATCTGAAAAATGATGGCTTGTTTCCCAGTGGGTGTAATCTCAAGCTGCAATACGAAAGAAGCCTTAGAATGAGTAAGCCAGAGAGATGTCCTGTTTTTGTTAAACACATCTCCGTTTGGGTTGCCCTAAGACTCTGTTTAACCCAGTTCAGTGACCCTGGTAGACAAGGACGCCCTTTGAGGTTGACCATTTGCATTTGGTGTTGAACAATTGATGTCACAAAAAACACGGTTGAGGTGTTTTGGTTACTGGCCCGAGCTGGTTAGGGATGGGTGTCGGTGTTGGGCTTGCTGAGGTCTTAATGAGGGCGAGTCTTGTTTGTTTGGGGTTCATTTGGGCTCGGCAAGGGGCTGGTATCCAGGATGCTGTTGGGAGGGAGTAAGGTTGAGTGTGCGGCTCATTTTTGCAGTGGCTTAGGGTTGCTTCAAGGATGTTGTTGCGCTAGTTTTGGGCTAGGTTTGGTGGTTGGGGGAAAGGCCCCCACAACCGATCCCAAACCAGCCCAAAACTCGCATAACCCCGCCCTGAAGCAGCCGCAATGCTACTGCAAAAACGAGCCGCACACGCAGCGCAAATCAGCTCCAAGCCAGCCCAAGCCCACTCGAGGTCAACCTTACGCCCTCCCAACAGCATCAGCATCCTGGATAGCAGCCCCTTGCCGAGCCCAAATGAACCAAACCAACCCAAGACTCACCCTCATTAAGACCTCAGCACATCCCAAACCAGCCCCGAGCAACTCTGAACTGCCTCCAAATCAAAGCCAATAGGCAGCCCTAGTCTGAGCAAGGCCAGTGGTGTGGGGATGCGGCCGGTCAAGCACGAGCAACTCTCAACTGCCACCAAATCACGGCCAATACGCAGCCCTGACGCCAAGTAAGTGGTGATGCGCCCAGCCGACCGACCAACCAACAAACCAACCAGCCAGCCAACCAACCAACCAACCAACCATCCATCCAACCAAGCAACCAACCAAGCAACCAACCAGCCAACACCCACCCACCCACCGACCAACCAACCAACCAGCCCCCAAGCCGGGGTTAAGCCCCCGAGCCGGGGCTAGTGAAAAACAAAAACGGTGTGGCCGTTTCTTGCTGGCCCGGGCCGACGAGTCAAAAGGCCAAAAGGAGGCCACAAAACAGTCGTGGGCTTGGAAAAAAAGAAAGTCCTTTGCGGACACTTGGCCCACAAGAAAGGGGTGCACATGGTTTCAGATTCTGGTCCATATTTACTCAAACCTACAATTCTTGTTTGGAGGAGACGCCAGGGACATGTCTTCCTCTCCTGCTCGGCCTCCCGTGCCAACGCCCCGGCATCGGCGGCCGCCGCGTCGGCTTTCGCCGGCTTCAGGGCGCGCCACTGCTGCAGCATCTCCTGTTGCTCCGCCCGCAGGGCGTCCTGCGAATCGGCGCAGCGAAGCGGCTCTGTGACAGGGTCACCCGGCCATTTCCCTGTGCCAAGCGCTTGTTTGGAGGAAACCAGCAGTGCCCATGGGAGGAAAACAAGTGGCACTCTTGTTGTTTGGAGGTGTTTGTTTTCTTACCTCCCCTCCCGCCCCCCCCCCCGCGCCTCCCCCCCTTCCCTCAAAAAAAAGAAAAGAAAAGGGGAGCAGAGGGTGGCCAGTGCCCCTTCTCTGCCTCTCCCGCAGCTGCGTCTCGCTCCTGCTCCAGGAGCCACTTGGCGTGGGCCACCAGATGCTCGTGCGACAGGTGGGGCAGCAGCTCTTGCGCCTGAAACCACCGCCCCTCCCATCTGACTGAAACCCACCCTGGTTGGAACATCTTTGGCGTCATGCCTTCTCTCCTGGTTGAAGTACTCACTTTCCGACCAGACAAGAGGGCCCTCCATTTGCGGATACGTTTCCTGGCAGAAACAAAACATATGTCCAGTCGTGATAGACTCCCTTCAACACCAACAGGGGGGAAATCAAACATATTCCAAAACGCAAATGGAAGGGGCAGGAACGCAATTCCAGGGCAGGCTTCCAGGTTTAGGTGCAGATGGAAAAACAATGGGTTTCTGCGCTGACCCTGAGCGCAAAGCCCACGTGACCCCACCCTAAAGCAAAGCTAAAGCCACCGCTAGACCAGCAGCACACCGAAAACAAATCAGCTCCAAGAAAAGTCCAAACCCACCGCAAGTTAACTAAACCCCACCAACAGCCGCCCGGATGACAGCCCTTTGCCGAGCCCAAACCAACCCAAGACCAAAGATCAAAGCCAGCCTAAAACCACCCATAATGAAAGCAGCCCCGCGCAGCTCCAAGTGAGGCTGGTGATGACGGGGATGCGGCCAACCAACCGACCAACCAACCAACCAACCAACCAGCCAGCCAGCCAGCCAGCCAGCCAGCCAGCCAGCCAGCCAGCCAGCCATCGCCAGGTTCAAAACTCTATGATGCCTTTGGCCGATTGGATCCTTACTACCAGGTGCCCAAGTGACTCCGCAAATGGCAGACCCTGCCTTGCCATATACCACCTGGGTCCATAGCAACCACTGCTTCTTGGACGCCAAGGGGACTTTAAACATGAGGAAAAGCAGTGGGGGAGGGGGGGTTGATAAGCCTAAACTTGTTGTTTACCACGGCCGTTGCAAGGCTTGCAAAGACCAGCACCTCGTGTTCTCGTCCGATTTCTCTGGCCGGGAAGTGAGTGTTTTGGGCCCCCGGCCGGGGGAGTGGCAGCCGCCTTCCCTACACCCTCGCTGTTCAGAACGGAATCTGACTTCTCATGTGGGCTGAAGGCAACTCGGCAATTGGCCCCATTCGCTTGTCCGAGACGGAGAACCAAAACCAAAACGAGGAAGTTTGAATTCGCCATCTCCCTACGCCCAAGTGAGTCACAATCAAACCTGGTATTCAATTTTGACCCACAGAACCGTGTGAAGAATCTAAAAAGTGGATAGCCGCACCTAGGTATATTGTATGGCTGGGTTGTGAGTGCGACTCAACTGCAACCCAGGGAAATCACGGACCGAATCCTTCCAAAGGGTACTCGGGGATGATTGCCTCTGAAAAGGAAACCCAAACTAGACCAACGAAAACAGGCAGGTTGACCAACTCACTCACTTGCCCAAAGGGGGTTCACCATTTGGAACCTTTACATAAACCAAAAGGGGAAACCACAAGGTCATGGTCCTGGTTTACTCCCATTAAGCGTTTGATGACCATAATATCCCCAAAGGTCTGTTGACCGTGGCCGATGTCGCCCTCTTGACTCAAGCGCCTGCTGCAGGAATTCCGCGCTGGCGCGGTTCCGGAAGCGCCCCAGCAGCCTGGCGAAGCTTCAAGGGGAGAGGAGTCTGGAGGGGAATCCTTGGTTCTCACGGAAGACATCGGTGAACAAAAACATGACTAGGGACCCAAAACTGGTGAACATCAAACTTCGAGGTGTCCACTTCAACTTCGTAGCCACAGATGGAAACATCGGAATTCAGCTCTGGTCTTCTGACAGGGTTCCGGTTGCATTTTGAGGGCTTCTCGAAATTTCTTTCGGGGCCAGTGAACCCGTTCAAACCAAAGGCCCTTTCGCTCGGGTCGTAGGATGTCTTGCAATCAATGCCAGCCTGAGAAACGCGTCATGGTCTGCTTGGCACCAGCCTCCTAGGAGCTTTCGAGCTTTGCTTGGTCCGTGGATTTGTCAAGGGAAATGGGTCTCTCACTTCCTGAGTGGATTGGGCAAAAGTGCGGACTTGTGGTTTACCCCTGAATTTTAAGATGTCCAAAGCAAGCAAGAAACAAAGCAATCTGACAACGCCATCTGTGTTCCTCCTTTGCTTTCGGCGAAGTTCACCTGTGCACACCACGGTGCTGACTCGCAGCCTCACCCTACTGGCTCCAAATAGTGTTCTCTTGGGCCAAGGTAGACTGAAACCCAGGAATTGGCTTCCCATTGCAAACTCAACCACCACCCCTGGGCATCTGCGACCTTGGAGCTTGCTCAAAAAGTGAACCTTTCCCCGTCAAGAGCTGGGCATGTGTCAAAACGAGACCTTGGGGGCCGAAGCCCCTCTCTCCCTACGCTGGCTCCTGTGCCGGGCACCAGCTTCTTGGTGACCTCCTGCACCCTCTGCCGCAAGGACTCCTCACTCGCCTCCGACTTCGGCCTGGCGACGACTTCGACTTCGAGTTCGGGGCGAGCTTCTGACGTCCCCGGCCGACGTGGACTTCCACGTGATCGCCCCTCCCCCCTTTTGTTCGGACTCGGGGCTTTTGATGGGACCAAAGGAGAATCCCTGACCGGAGAGGGCACCCAATCATCCAATTTGAGGTGGTACGCCCCAAAAACGACCATATCCCTGCTTGAATGTCCATTCTAGGACATGAATGTTTGGTGGTTCACTCCTTACATCATGGTTTGTAAATCCCACACCTCTGTTGCGTCCTGCACCCTCACTTCTTTCTGGCTTGGGAATTGGCGCTTCTTGGTAGCCCCAGAAACCTGGGCGTGTTTGTTTTGGAGGCTCGGTGCCTTTGGAAACCAAATGGAAGCCATTTTGGGTCCCGGTCCGAATATGAATTTTCAATTAATGGCGAAGCACCTGTCATGCCACCCAACTATTTTTACCAAAGGGTCCCCCATTGAAAAACTCGCATCATATTGACCTGGTGAAGTGATCCCTTTGCCTATCTACCCCTTGTATATGGTACCGTGTACCTTTGGGTTTACCTAATTACTTCCATTTGCTTAAGCCCCCTGAAAAAAAATAAATGTATATATTTCCAATAGTGGTAGATTCCCTTTAAAACCAACAGGGCAACAAAAAAAAAATATTAAGCAAATGGTTGACCTATGGTCCAGTCCCTGGCGACCCCGTCGCGCCTCTTCACCGAGACCTTCCTCCGAGTTCTCCCGGAACTCGTGGCCGGCTCGGCCCAGGCTTCGAAGCGGGCCAAGGAGGCCTCGAGTCGACGGATCGGGGGATCCCAAGGCCGCTTCCCCACCCGCTCACGTGGCTCTGTCTTTTGAGTTTGGTGCGGTTTGGGAACAAAACCGTAGGACAACCGACATTTTTCGGGGGGCCCCTAAAACTAGACAGGCCCACGGCCCGCATGACAGTTGTGGTTGTTGCAAATGAATCCGTAAAAACCAGCACGACTGTAAGGGTTGATTCCCCATCATCACCCGTTGTTCTGTTCAGAACCGCCCATTTTGTCAGGTGTCCCCATTGTTTAAACATAAGGAGCCCCCGCTAAAGCCTCGTGTTTGGTTTTGTTCCCAAGCGGAAACAGTTACACTTCAACCCCCCCCGCAAGATGAACAACTTTTGAGAGCCAAGACGCAAACAGGTTCAGCTGGCAGCAAAGCTTTCAGAGCTGTTTTCCCACCGCGCCTGCAGCGACTGCTCGAGCCCACACTCTTCCGCTGCCAGCTCCTGTTGCCGATGTTTGTCTCTTGGACTTCGGCTATTTGGGGCATCCCCGAAACCTTGGAGAAGTAGTTGAAGGTGCGCGACTTGGTCTAGGATGTGCACCCTTCCGAAACCTAGGTAGCACAAACAAAAACAAAGTGCTTGATTTTTGGCAGCCCCCCACCACCAACAAAAAAAGCCGCCAAACAAAAGCTGCGCTGCCAACCAGGGTTCCATTTGACTACCCCACCAGGGTTCCATTTGACTACCCCAAGAGGGTTCCATTTGACTACCCCAAGAGGTAGACTTCAACCCAGGTTCCCCTTTTGTTCCGATATCAACCCCTCGCCCAAAATCTGAAAGTGGAAGGGTGCAATCATGCTCAAAGGTCGATCCTTAGGCCATTCAAACTGGGTACTTCAACCGGTTTCCTGAAGCTGCCTTATGGCAACAGTTTCCTCGAGGCTTTCCGTTGGACCTCCGATGCGTTGACGACAGCCTGGAAACTTTGCGCCCCTCGATTGGGCTCCTGGAGCTGCTGTTGCATCTGCTCCCCCTGCACCTGGCGACAGAGAAAACGCTGATGTTGCGCGGCTGGAAGGGTAGCATGGGTGGCTCGTCCTTTAGGGGACCCCCAAAATGATGGCTTTCCTTTTGGCTTCGCATTGAAACCATCAAAAAGGGTGCCCTTCAAGAAAAAGACACACCCGTATAAACTTCCTGCCCCACAAGGGTTTCCAACTGAAGAGCCTTTGAAAATAATGCACTGTGGGTTCTGCCAGCCAGCCCTTCAAAAACTGGATGTTGGCAAAAGCGCTGCTGAAAAAAGACAAATCTCAACAAGCCAAAGAACATTGGGGTCTGGCACAAATAGTGGGAGGAACCCAACAATGCTTGCTTCCCTTTTGGTTTAGCGTGAAACCAACCCAACAAAATGACCTTGAATTTCCCATGCGATGCCAAGATTAGTCAAGACTAAAACCTTGAAACGGAGGGATGCTCATTTGGAGGTCCATGACACGCGCAAAGAATTGGAGAAACAATGCACGCGCCAACAAAAGGCCATACCCGACACAACCCAAGAAAATGACAGGAACAACAAGCAATGAGCACCCCCAGCTGTTCAGAGACCATGCTTGAACAAACAGTGCTTTTGGTCGTGGGGAACCCACCAGGCCAAAAGGGAAACGGGTACAATCCACTGAACAACTAAGTCACAATCAAAACCTGGAATTCAAGTGGTCTACCCAAAACCATGTGAAGAAACAAAGGATGGTCCCTTACTAATTATTCATCTGTCTAAATATTGATCGCGGCTCAACTTCCCGCCCGACACCTTCAGAATTCAACCCCTCTCGCCTTCAAAGAGTGCTCCACGGCGCTCACCATCCGCCGCAGGTCCTGCAAGGATGCCCCGCACCCCAAACAACCAGGGTACCCTGCTGCTGGTAGATGGTGCTTTTCCAACCAGCCAACCAACCAACCAACCAACCAACCAACCAACCAACCAAGCAGCCAGCCAGCCAGCCAGACAGCCAGCCAGGGGACAGCTGCCGGCCCTAGAGACATAAAGCGCCACACACACACACACATCATCCCCTGGTTGCTCCCCTGACCCAGACATGCAGAAGAGAACATGTCCGACAAAATCATTCCAAAGCTCCAAAACAGCCAGAAGGGCGGCAAACACCAACCCAGCTGTCAGGTATGCTGTAAGGCTGTTGTAAGGCTGGTTCTCAGTTAAGTGGATTTCATTATATTCGAGGGTCAATTTGTTTTATTCGGGGGTTGTGTTGGGGAATTTAATGGGCCCATTCTTGCAGTTTGAGGTCACAGCCATGCCGCCCCATGTAGCCTGTTGGCTTGCAGTGAAGCACATGGAACTGGCAAATACGCGCTTGGAAAATGGAGAAAATGATTGAGGTACTTGTCGCTTGTATACGGTGTTTCTCCAGCCCGTCGGCTAGGTCGAGCAAGTTTGGGCACTTAAGGTTGCTTCGGCCCCTAGCGCCTCAACCGGCGAATTACTGCTGCCCAACCAGGCTCTGTGAAGGATATCAGCTTCACCCTGTGAACCCTGCAGTCGTCTAGCCACACCATTGCAGTTGAAGATGCTTTTCAAAAACCGCCCACGAGCCAGTCTTCAAGATGTATACTCATTCAAGACGCCAACTGCCTGCAGCTGAGAAAAGCAACGGGGTCAAGCAACTTGCTTTACACTTAGCAGTAGTTGCAAGCATTGCTTGCGCCAACTTCTTCCTGCAACACGCTGAGATCTAAGGCACAGTGAGAATGGGAAGGGTTTTATTCGGATTCAAAAGCTTTTGCTGCGGGGCGAGTGCCGATCTGATAGGGGCAACTGCTTCAACAAGTTTGCTGCAAAGCCAGGCCTACAAGCAGAACTGAACTCCTTCCTGAAAATGTTCTAGAATATTTTAAAACCTGCTCAAGACTTTCGCGAAGGAACCTTAGCCCCTCCCTGAAATCCATAAGTTCGTGCGGGAAGTCACCATTGCCAAGCTCTAGACCAGCGTTTCCAATGCATTGGGGCGGTTCCTTTGATTGAAGGGTTAGGACCATGTTTCAAACATGTTGGCCTGTGCAACTCCACCCCCCCCCCGGCCCCCAAGGTTCACAAAAGGAAGCCGGTGAAGCAAATAAAGCTCGACATATTCTTCATGAGTCTGTATGCTTCCCAACAAGTGTGTTGTCCAATTTTGCTGCAAGAATCAGGCAAACCACTAAGGTTCCAAAAGCTGCCCGATCTCTCAAACCGACACTAGAGGTGGTGAATGTGGCGAAAACGTAAATAATAAACAATAAATATAAATATCATAAGTTATCAAGGCACAACCTTTGTCAGCTGGCCGAATCTACCCCCCCCGGAGTTGCAAGATCTGATGAGGGTGCAGGCCATGGCGAAGATTTAGAGGTTTCAATAGGGAACCTGCATAACGATGAGGAGGTGAAATTCCCTTGAAACACTGACTGGGCCACTCGAACTTGTGGCAAGGCTAGTAGAACCAAATTTTGGGTGCAATTCCGAGACCCTTCGCACCAGAAGCCTGCCACGGGGAAACCTGAAAATGCTTCATTCTCAGTGTCCACGCAAAGTGTCGCTGCTTGGCTGCTTTGCTTTGGCTGGGCCTCTTCATGATGCGCGGGTTATAGGTGAAGCAAAGGTACTCCCCATTGTTCACACGCTTCACGCGCAAGTTGAAACACCTCCTACAATTGCGCCAAGCTTTCCGGCGTGTGACACGTGCGCCTACTGCAAACAGGTTTGTGGGAACTGTTTTCTAAAGGTCCGCGTTAACGAGTCAGTTGAGTTGCTTGACATGCCGCTGAGGACTCTACATCAAAATTCGAGGGGCCAGGGCCTACACGCGCCGTCTCGATAAGATTGCAGCTGGAAGGAGCTTGGAAGAAAATCCGGGCACAGCGTTTGCTTTGGCTTAGAAAGTGTTGCGATGGTCACTCTGCAGCCAAACGCAGACCATGAGGCCATTGGACTATCCCTTGCTCCCCTATGCGTTCGCATGCTTACTTGGCTATTGCAACAATGCTTGCGCACGATGGCGCTGCGGAGATGCAGCCCGGCTTTGGACATGCTGCGATTTTCTCACCCGCAGCACTGTGAGGGTTTCGTGCTTTTACTACGCTGCGTTTGCGCCGCCGCCTCCCGGTTGCTTCTCCTCCCGTCTCTTCCGTCCTCGACGCCCTCATTCACGCAGTCTCACCCGCCCACCTATGCTGAGCCACTTGTTCTTTCTGAATCGCCCTCACTCACTCATCGTAACTTCTCACCTACCCATTCGCACTCATTGGCTCTCAGTCGCTCATTCTCAACTAGTCTCACTCATACATTCCCGCTCCCTCTATCTTGCTCTTTCTCACTTGACTCACTCATTCTTACTTTGCATTCTTACTCACTCAATCTCATGCGTCTCACTCTTGCTCATTTCCGCTCACTCAGTCTGACTCACTCATGAGTCACGCTCACTCCTTTTCACTCATTCTCCCTCGTTCTCACTCCTTCTCACTCCTTCTCACTCCTTCTCCTCCACATCACGCATCACCTCCCGTGCCTTTAGCATCGCCTATCTCTGTATTTCCGCACTTGAGCACTGAAAAAAGAGCGGAGGGAAGGAGTGAGCGAGCGAGTGAGTGAGAATGAGTGAGAGTGAGTGAGTTTGAGGCAGAATGAGCGGAAAGCACAAAGATGAGGGATCAGGAGCTGGTTTTGGAAGCGCAGGTACGGAAGTTTCGCACCACTTCTGAAGGGGTACATAATTCCCAACATGCTTATGCGCACAGTTTTTTCATTTACGTGTATGTATGCGCTCACGAAGCATAGCCCAAAATGGCATCCCTTTACACCAGCCAGCAGAAGGTACAGCGCCCTCAAAACAAAGCCGCCTGAGGTCTGAGGCCTGTCCTTGTGAGCCCTGCTGCAACTTCGGCCCAAACTTTATTTTTGCAACCTTGCCCCTGAAGATCTTTGTACATATCATTAACTCTGGGTTTTTGACTTGGTCAGCGCTCCCTTGGTTCCTGAATGGTTGTTTCCCTCTCTAAACAAAAGACTGGTGAATACTTGGGAGTGGAAAAGGCGACGGTTTGGCATCCCTGGCAAAGGCGACGGTTTGGCATCACGCTGCGTGATCAGTTGGCTGATGAGGAACTTCAGGAATTTCAGGAGCCACTCAGGCAATCAAAAGCATACATGGGTCACCTTTCAGGGATCCAAGTTGTGGCTTTTCAAAAGGTGATGGTTCGGCACAAACCGTCGCCTTTTGACAGCAGGATGTGACAGGCTAAGGAAACAGAGGGAAGAGCGAAAGGAGAAAATCCGAGAAAAGGGGAGGCCGGAAGAACTTAGAACGATTGAGAAAAGGGGAGCCATTCTTAGGTTGGCTTGGTTTGGGGGGGGGAGGGTTGTGGCAAGGGGGCAGAAGGTGATGGTTTGAGGCAAACCGTCGCCTTTTCAAAATCCAGGATTAGAACCCCAAAAAGGTGACGCATTTATTCTGACGGGCGACTTGTTGGGTCAAATCGTTGCCTTCCGCGGGGAAGCGAAACCGTCGCCTTTCCCAGGGATGCCAAACCGTCGCCTTTGCCAGGGATGCCAAATAGTCGCCTTTTCCACTCCCAAGTATTCACCAGTCTTTTGTTTAGAGAGGGAAACAACCATTCAGGAACCAAGGGAGCGCTGACCAAGTGAAAAGACCAGAGTTAATGATATGTACAAAGATCTTCAGGGGCAAGGTTGCAAAAATAAAGTTTGGGCCGAAGTTGCAGCAGGGCTCACAAGGACAGGCCTCAGACCTCAGGCGGCTTTGTTTTGAGGGCGCTGTACCTTCTGCTGGCTGGTGTAAAGGGATGCCATTTTGGGCTACGCTTCGCGAGCGCATACATACACGTAAATGAAAAAACTGTGCGCATAAGCATGTTGGGAATTATGTACCCCTTCAGAAGTGGTGCGAAACTTCCGTACCTGCGCTTCCAAAACCAGCGCCTGATCCCTCATCTTTGTGCTTTCCACTCATTCTGCCTCAAACTCACTCACTCTCACTCATTCTCACTCACTCGCTCGCTCACTCCTTCCCTCCGCTCTTTTTTCAGTGCTCAAGTGCGGAAATACAGGGATAGGCGATGCTAAAGGCACGGGAGGTGATGCGTGATGTGGAGGAGAAGGAGTGAGAAGGAGTGAGAACGAGGGAGAACGAGGGAGAATGAGTGAAAAGGAGTGAGCGTGACTCATGAGTGAGTCAGACTGAGTGAGCGGAAATGAGCAAGAGTGAGACGCATGAGATTGAGTGAGTAAGAATGCAAAGTAAGAATGAGTGAGTCAAGTGAGAAAGAGCAAGATAGAGGGAGCGGGAATGTATGAGTGAGACTAGTTGAGAATGAGCGACTGAGAGCCGCGCCTTCGCAGCGCCATCGTGCGCAAGCATTGTTGCAATAGCCAAGTAAGCATGCGAACGCATAGGGGAGCAAGGGATAGTCCAATGGCCTCATGGTCTGCGTTTGGCTGCAGAGTGACCATCGCAACACTTCCTAAGCCAAAGCAAACGCTGTGCCCGGATTTTCTTCCAAGCTCCTTCCAGCTGCAATCTTATCGAGACGGCGCGTGTAGGCCCTGGCCCCTCGAATTTTGATGTAGAGTCCTCAGCGGCATGTCAAGCAACTCAACTGACTCGTTAACGCGGACCTTTAGAAAACAGTTCCCACAAACCTGTTTGCAGTAGGCGCACGTGTCACACGCCGGAAAGCTTGGCGCAATTGTAGGAGGTGTTTCAACTTGCGCGTGAAGCGTGTGAACAATGGGGAGTACCTTTGCTTCACCTATAACCCGCGCATCATGAAGAGGCCCAGCCAAAGCAAAGCAGCCAAGCAGCGACACTTTGCGTGGACACTGAGAATGAAGCATTTTCAGGTTTCCCCGTGGCAGGCTTCTGGTGCGAAGGGTCTCGGAATTGCACCCAAAATTTGGTTCTACTAGCCTTGCCACAAGTTCGAGTGGCCCAGTCAGTGTTTCAAGGGAATTTCACCTCCTCATCGTTATGCAGGTTCCCTATTGAAACCTCTAAATCTTCGCCATGGCCTGCACCCTCATCAGATCTTGCAACTCCGGGGGGGGTAGATTCGGCCAGCTGACAAAGGTTGTGCCTTGATAACTTATGATATTTATATTTATTGTTTATTATTTACGTTTTCGCCACATTCACCACCTCTAGTGTCGGTTTGAGAGATCGGGCAGCTTTTGGAACCTTAGTGGTTTGCCTGATTCTTGCTGCATTGGACAACACACTTGTTGGGAAGCATACAGGTTCATGAAGAGTATGTCGCGCTTTATGTGCTTGACCGGCTTGTTGTTGTGAACTTGGGGGGGTGGAGTTGCAGGCCAACATTTTTGAATCATGGCCCTGACCTTTGAAGCAAAGGAACCGCCCCAATGCGCTGGAAACGCTGGTCTAGAGCTTGGCGATGGTGACTTCCCGCACGAACTTGTGGATTTCAGGGAGGGGTCGGGGTGCCTCAAGGGATTATGTGTGTTTTGTGCGGGAAAGATCAAAGCTAAGGTTCCTTCGTGAAAGTCTTGAGCAGGTTTTATATCCTAGAACATTTTCAGGAAGGAGTTCAGTTCTGCTTGTAGGCCTGGCTTTTCAGCAAACTTGTTGAAGCAGTTGCCCCGATCACATCGGCGCTCGCCCCGCAGCAAAAGCTTTTGAACCCGAATAAAATACTTCCCATTCTCACTGTGCCTTGGATCTCAGCGTGTCGCAGGAAGAAGTTGGCGCAAGCAATGCTTGCAAATACTGCCAACTGTAAGGCAAGTTGCTTGACCCCGTTGCTTTTCTCAGCTGCAGGCAGTTGGCGTCTTGAATCAGTATAAATCTTGAAGACTGGCGCGTGGGCGGTTTTTGAAAAGCATCTTCAACTGCAATGGTGTGGCTAGACGACTGCAGGGTTCACAGGGTGAAGCTGATATCCTTCACAGAGCCTGGTTGGGCAGCAGTAATTTGCCCCTGAGCAGTCAGCAGCCGGTTGAGGCGCCAGAGGCCGAAGCAACCTTAAGTGCCCAAACTTGCTCGACCTAGCCGCATGGGCTGGAGACACACCGTATATAAGCGATAATTACCTCAATCATGTTCTCCATTTTCAAATGCGCATTTGCTAGTTTTATGTGCTTCATTGTAAGTTAACAGGTTACATGGGGCGGCATGGCTGTGACCTCAAACTGCAAGAATGGGCCCATAAATTTCCCCAACACAACCCCCGAATGAAACGAATTGACCCTCGAATATAATGAAATTGACTTAGTTGCTTTGGGGGTTGGGGGAACGGAACCCAACAACTCATCACCTGCAGAGAACCTTCCTTTCAAGGAAAGGACCCATTTTGGAAGTCAATCTTAGTTTGAGCAAGTCTCAGAAAAGTTGGGACAACCTAAGCAGACCCCCACACCCATTGATCTAAGATGGGCACAAATGTCGTGTAGGGAGCACAACCCCAATTCAGCCAGGTAGGAACCGACAGTCAAATGGCCCTTGGAACCGGCTGTGGGGTGTCCCTTCCGCGCCCATCTGACGTCCTCAGCCCCTGCAAGGTGGAGGTTGGCGCCAAGGACTAAAACTCTCTTGCCTCAGGACGTCACCGGGTGACGGGGACCTTCCCTTCCAAAACATCGCCGGGCCGTTGTTTCTCCAAAAGGGGTGGGTTTTCCAACCAAGAAACTTGTTGGGGGGGGCGGAATTGGGCGCTTCTCCGAGGTGCAACCCAAACCCCTGGCTCTGATTCTTCTCGGGGCTTGCGAAAAGGCCCAACCTGCCTCGGGGACCCAAAATGCGGCCGCACAAACATCCGGGTCACGTCTCCGGCAAAGATCCGGTGAATTGACAACCCCGAAACGGCCAGTTCTTCAGGAGGAACCCCTTGAACTTGTTGGGGAATATGGGACAATTCACACCAGGTTAGCCAAGAAATCATCTGGGACCCAGATGAAGAAAATATGGTTGGGGGTTCTAAAAATTGGCTTTGAGGGATGGTTTTGCAACACGTAAAGGCCCTGGACTCGCCGCGTTCCGCTGAGGCCTGTGCGTAGATGCTTGAGCCCACACCAAATCTCCTCGCAACTCGAGATCAAAGCGGACTAAAGACCCAAGGGATCCGGCCTGCAAGCAGTGCGGGGTGTGCTGTTTGGAGGGAATCCTTTGTGGGCCTGCTTTTCGAAAACAAATGGAAACCACCTCTTTACAGTCGCTCTATTCTGATACACACCCAGCTAACTTGGTTGGTGGTTGAAAGGGAAAATGAAGGAACCCCTTTTGGCCAAAGGGCAGAAAGATACAGAAAGGTCAAATAAGTCAGCAAAAAAAGGGGCCCTGCCATGTCAGCTTCAGATTCATCCAAACAACCATGTTCATCAGGGGGAACCCCCTGCTTAACACCAGTGGGACATACAACCCGCACGGACGGTTGTGTTTGCGAGTACACGTTCTTTTTGAAGCACGCCAAGCACAACCCGACGTCCGGGGTCCTAAGGTTACGCGACCAAACTATGCATGGCTGCTTCAGCCACTGTGACAGCGCTTGAACACGTTTCTGAAAGGCAGCTCAATCACCGTCTTGCGTGCTTATCATTTCGCTGGTGTGTGTGTGTGTCTCGTAGATAGCAGAAACCACTCGAACATACATGGCTTGTCTCTTGGCTGGCGTGTACGCAGCCGGCTGGCTTGCACAGGCGCTGTGTGGAGCAGGGCTTGCCCAGTGTCTGTTGGCTAAGTAGATAAAGGCTCGTTTCCTGTGAATGGGGATGGTGGGTTCCTGGTTGGCTTCCCTACGTCCAACTCATCCTTCAGGAAACACCTCAGAGAAGCCTCCAAATGGTTGAGCCAAACCCTGGTGAAAAACACATCTGGTGAAAGCAACGTTTCTCCAAGTAGTCTTGGCCAATCCTGATGGAGAATCACTACACTGGGAACCTTTCGTAACCCAAAAGTCTCGCGGATAGCAGGCGCCAGAAATTTGCAAGATATGCCCAGCCCACTTGGAACGTCGCCAACCAGGTGATTGGTGCACCCAATGGAACATCGCGAGGGAAGCGCATGAATCACACACACAAACCAAAGGTGGACGAAAATCAAAGACGAACAGAACTGAAGAGGGAGGAGGATGAGGGGCTTGGGAATGTGGGATCGTCCAAGCAGTCGTGTACAAGCGGCAAAGAAGTTTTGCGACCGCCCCAACTCCTAAAATGGACTCCCAAAAGCTCGAGCAGAAAGATATCCTTTGTAGAAAATACACTTCGGGGATCCAAAACAAGCCCCCTCCAACTTGTTAGAAGGGCTCCTTGGACAAAATCGACCTTTGCACCCGATTCGCTCTTTCGACCTGCCTCTGGCTCTTGCCCTTCAAGCTGCAAGTCCTCGCAAGACTTCGGGGAAACCAAGAGGAAAATCGTCAAATCTTTAGAGGGGGGGTCCCAACCTGTAGTTTGACACGCAAGACAGAGCCACCGCAAGGGGTGCTTTCGCGGCTTCATATAAACTCTTACTGGCTAATGACTACTAGCGACTATTAGCCGCTAAGGATTAAGGGTGATCTTTGGCAAAAACCATTCTCATGGCTCCCCTTGTCTTGGCCACGTGAGGTACACAGAAACTAGCAGGTGTTGATCAGGGGACACTCATTTTCCCATGTTCTTTCGGGGAAAGAAGTAATTTTGACCTTTGCTCAGATGTTTGCAAAAATGTTGGTTCCTTTGGGTCACTGAGATAGCTCATTCCCAATTGGATGAAGAGGGGCGTGTTCGATTGTGGCGATGCCTAGTGTGAAAGTGGGTGCTGGTGAGAACGAGTTGTCCCAATACGGGTTGATGTGATTAATGGTGACTAGGTTGGACTAGGGGCCAAGAAGGATCGTGAATCTGGGCGAGATACAGCGACGCTACCAATTGTGCTTGCAACATCACCCATGAGGATGAAGGCTCCTTGCACGTTCCCGCATGTTCCCATGTTCAGTTGGTGAAGTAAATAAAGGTCATAATCTTCCCACGGCTCCACCTCTTATTGTGGCCCTGGATCGAAGTTGGACAAATGTGCTCCATGCGCCATTCACTTTCTGTGTGACTCTATACCTGGCCAAGCGTTGAAGTTAAGTTGGAAGGCGACGCCGATGTTTTCGGGTCCAAATCTCCGACTGGGGTCTCCTCCAAACTTTTTGAACAAATACCTTTGGATAGACTACACAAACAGAATGTGTTCTTGGGAAGCTGCGTGACTCTCCCGAACAAACCATAGAGGAAAGTCCAGTCAAAAACAAATGGCCCAATTCGAAATCCTTTCCCTGCCAAATTAGTGAGTCCAATTCCCCAACCCCAACATAGCGGTCAGTGTTTTTCAAAATGAGTTTTCGGACCTCCTTTTGGCTTGTATTTGGGTGTGAACTTTTCATGAGAACCTTTAGTGGACATTTTTGGGGGGGCGGGGATTTATGTCCACAAATCCCTCTTCATTGTCATTTCAAGGACAACTCAAAGGAAACCACTCGATTTAGGGCCGCTGAGCCCAACACAACAGTTGAGTTGCTGCGGTCTACCCAGAGCCACTTTGCAGCATTTTCAAAGTTCAAGCTCCCAAACGAAAGCTTGAATAATCACTCTTGCAAAGCCACAGCCACGTCTTTTGGGTGTTTCTTTCAAAAGCACCCCTTCCAGCAGCCCGCCTGGTTGGATCTTTGCAGCTGTTGGAGCTCTCGCTTCAGGTCCGACTCTGCGGACCACGCCTCCCGCGAAATCCCGCGATGATGCGCGACGGAGCCGCCGCGTGTGTGCTTGTGATTGAGTCTGCCCTTGAGTGTGGGTGTGCGTGTGAGTGTTTGTGTTTCTGCTTATGTGTGTGTGATTGTTTGTGCGCTTGTGTTTGCGATTGTGACGGCCCTAGTGTAGCACGCACGGTCCACGCGAGCCCCCAAACACGAGCATAACCACAAACACGCAAACAAGCCACAAGCAACACACGAACACAATCACAATCACAAGCACAGCGCACAAAGAAACAGCAAACACAGACACAGAAGCCAAAACGCAATCACAACCACAAGCACATTGACAAACACAAACGCGCACCAAAGACAAAAACAGGAAACAACACCACCGCGCACACACACACACACACGTACACGCGGGCAATCACGATCACAAACACATATGCAAACAAAAAACATACCCAGACACACGCAAACGCCATCACAATCGCAAACGAAGAACAAACACAAACACCAGCTCAATCACCGGTACAAAAACAAACACAAAACACACACACACACACACACACACACACGCACACGCACACGCACACGCACACGCACACCCACACACCCACACACACACACACACGCACACACGCACACACACACACACACCTACACAAACACACACAAAGCACGTGTACGTGCATATCTCTGCGCGCGTGCATGCCTGCCTGTGCACGTGCATGTGTCTGAGTGCATGCTCGCGCGTGCGTGCGGGTTTGCGTGCCTGGGGGTTTGCGTGTGTGTATGTGTGTGTGTGTGTGCGCCGTGTGTGTGTGTGTGTGCATGTTGCTTTCATGTTTGTCAATTGGATTGCTTAATTGTCTTTTGAGTATGTTTGCGATTGTGGTGGTGCTATTCGTGTTTGCTTGCTCGCTTGGTTGCCTGCATGTTTCCTTGCTGGCTCACTCGCTCTCTCGCGTGCGTGGTTCCGTGCGTGCATGTGTTTGTGCTCGTTTGCTTGCTTGTTTGATTGTGTGTTGGGTGTGTTCGAAAAACTGTCACTTGTTTGTTTGCTCGCTTGCTTGCTGCTTGTTTCTTTGATTTACTTGTTTGATTCCTTATTTGCTTGCCCACTTGCTCGCTTACATGCCTGCTTGTTAGTTTGTGTGTTTGTTTGTTTGCTTGATCGATTGCATGATTTAATCATGAATAATATGATGGTGTGCTCGTGTGTGTGTGTGTGTGTGTGTGTGTGTGTGTGTGTGTGTGTGTGTGTGTGTGTGTGTGTGTGTGTGTGTGTGTGTGTGTGTGTGTGTGTGTGTGTGTGTGTGTGTGTGTGTGTGTGTGTGTGTGTGTGTGTGTGTGTGTGTGTGTGTGTGTGTGTGTGTGTGTGTGTGTGTGTGTGTGTGTGTGTGTGTGTGTGTGTGTGTGTGTGTGTGTGTGTGTGTGTGTGTGTGTGTGTGTGTGTGTGTGTGTGTGTGTGTGTGTGTGTGTGTGTGTGTGTGTGTGTGTGTGTGTGTGTGTGTGTGTGTGTGTGTGTGTGTGTGTGTGTGTGTGTGTGTGTGTGTGTGTGTGTGTGTGTGTGTGTGTGTGTGTGTGTGTGTGTGTGTGTGTGTGTGTGTGTGCCCCCCTGTTCCTAAGGGGTTTTGCGGTCGTGCTTTTCTCTCTTTATTGGAGTCGGACGCCACCTTGACGAATGCCCCGGAATGCAGTAATCCTGTTGGCAGATGGCGTTCCTGATGAGGATTGCCGGCAGGATGAACAATTACCGGGCTTACGTCAAGCCGAAACTCCTCTTTTCACCTTTCACCCTTCAGTTGCTTGGGGGTGCACCTTGGCAGTTTCGCCGTCTCATATCAAGTGTGTTTAGGCACTGCGTCCGGGCTTCGGTCAGTGTCTTGATCCCTCTTGGGGGCATCTGTTCCGACTCATGCTCAGACATTTTCTACAGACTGTTACCGGACCTTGTCGCTCGTGACGCTTGACTGTTCCAGCTGATCTTATCAATACAGGCTTGGACCTCTCCCAGACCTTCCGGCACCCCAGACTGTTTTCCGTGAACCGTTTCTGTCAGACCAACTGTTTGACAACCCATCCGACTACCCGACACATCAGGTGGAAAATCACGACGCCGTCAGCTTGGTCTTGGCTCGCAATTGTTGGCACTAGATGTCTCGCCCCCACGCAGGTCCGATGTCGAACTCGGCAGGCCCCATGGCCAAGGCATCCAGGAACACTGCCGGCCCTACGCCGCCCAGGTCTCCAGTGCACCAGTCAGCATCACCGAGCAGGAGTACGCTTGTGACACCAGCTTCGAGGACATCTTGCGAGGTGTCCAACGCCTCAAGGGCTGCCAAAGCAGCGGTCCCGGCTCTTGCTCCCGGAGACGCATCGGCATCGGTCCCTACCTTGGAGGTCTGGCCTGCATCTGTAGCTGGCCCACTGCCGCAAATTCTGGTGAAAGCACGCCCGGCCACACCGATGACACCAATGACTCCGATGACGCCAACTACCCCGACAGTTTCAGCTACAGCATGCCCACCTATGCCCACAGCACCGACCCCTATCACACCGATCCCTACGGCAACCCCATCAGGTCAGATGCTTCCACCGCCCAACCCACCATCCAGATTACGCCACACGACGGAGGGAGACCGGTCACGTTCCCACAACGCTTCCCCCTACTCCAAGTCAGTGCCCCCACAGCGGCGAGGCCGAGCTCGCTCCCGGACGCCACCTCCGATCTCCCGAAGGGACTCAACATCGGACAACACCGTGACGGAAGCATCGAATGCTACCGCGCCGACGCCCACAGCAGCCAAGTCCTCATCCCGGGCACCTACGGCAACTAAAGCTTCATCCCGACGACCGAGAAGCAATCGATCTCCCCTTCCGCGTAGCAGAAGCAGTGCCCCGTCAGCTCCAGCCTCCAAGGCCGCAGGAGCTCGCCCGGATGTGGGGTCGTCCTCGAGGAGCATGCAACTACGCCCCAATCCACAGGCACATCCACCGCTGGTCTTGCTTCCCAACCCGGAGTCTGATCCCTGGAGGAACGAACTTCAGGTGCTGGCAGCACCATATCTTCGCGATGGGATCCCAGTCAATCAGGAGCAGATGAGCTATGTGGCCGCGACCTTGAATGCAGCAGGCATACCGTCTCAACATTCCACCCTGAACTATGCGAAGGTCAACCCGGATCATCATTTTTATAAGATCACCCCGCACTGGTTCATGCTGACGGTCCCTTATCTTGGGGCCACGGTCCGGCTCAAAGAACCGACGAAGACGCGACCCATGCTGCTCTGGACTCACGCTTCCAGTGTTGGAGGTACTCGCGGCATCCTGCGGAGCCGACAGATCCATCCTTCCCGGCAGCACTCCTCGGAGTGCCCAGCCTTTTATGCCCAGGGCTGGAAGATCACTGGACACGCCGACTACGACGCTGAAGAAATCGCTCGCACGATGAGCCAGAACTGGAGCATGTCTTTTAACATGGCTCAATTGCTGTTGTTCGGACGCGCTGTTGGCACTTGTCAACCGATTCGATCGGGAGGAGAGCAAGCTTGCATTGAGGCCCTGGACTCCAGTGAACGTCCTGATGTTATCCACTATGTGTCGGGCAAGTGTTGGATGGTGATCCCGGAGGCAAGCCAGATCGTTGGACTCGCATGGCCCACCGATGCGAAACCACCCACTGGTGTCCTCCGCTCGTGAACCTGCACCAGGAGCATTTGCAGCCAATGACAATTAATGATGTTTCATTGCGAATAAGAGCATACTTCGCCACACTGCCGTCTTCGACTACCGACGATATTTTGCGACAAAAAGTGCACGCCAGAGCCTGATCCGAGTATGTGCTGACCTTGCTGCAGGGTTCCTTTTTTGAAGTTTTGTGTAGCTAATGCTGTTTTCTGGTCGCTCACCACCCTGGGCCCGGACGGAATTCGGGTGTCGTTTTGGCATGGTTGTTGTTTCGGAAATGTGTGGCGTACACCTAGCGTTTAACCCATTAGCAGTGCGGGCGGCAACCTCCTATCTAGTGATGGCTTCTCCGTGGAGCTATTCATGGCCGGCGACATCGGCACCTTCTTCCTCTTCGCATCCGGGACACTCGTATCTACCGTCATGGTCATTTCCGCAGTCCCAGCAGGAGGCATATCTCAGCTCCAATCGGACGGAACCTTCGCAACATCAACTTCGCGAGGAAGCACCGTCCCGGGTCAATCCCCCTCGGCCCCCACAGATGGCTCATCAGTTTCCTCCTCAACCACCCGGTCAATTTTACAACTATCACGGTGGTGGAACAAGTCACATGCAGACAGGTCCTCGTCCTTCACCACCCGCACCGCCAGTTCAACCTCCAGTTCGGGCACCTCTAGGCCAGGGTGATGCAACGCAATACACTCAGCCTCGATATTCGCAGCTGCTTCCCAGCACCTTCCAATCTGACGACATCTTCCTAGACAAGACGGAGGTCCGCGGTCTGCAGCTGTACCGTCACGTTCAGCCCACTCAGTGGTCCAGAAGAGTTGGGCTCGCAGGAACAGCCATCCTGGATCTTCCACTCACGCGACTTCTTCGAGGAGGAGCAGAAGATCACGCATTACGAGCACTATCAAATGGCCGCTACAGCACACCAGTTATGGCTCAGACGATAGCCGAGGCAGTCTTATTGACATCCATTCTCAAAGCATTGAGAGGCAGGGAGGTCGACATTGACAGGACAGCTCGCTCTCTCCACGCGGACAATGCGCCGGATAAGCGCAATGAGGCCATGCAGTTTATGGAGCCACTTGCAATCAAAATCGTGGATCTCATGGAGTCCTTGCAGCCCGCCAAGCAGGAGAACCTCACTCGCCACAAAATTGCCGAATTAGAGCAACAGCTGGAGCGCTACAAGAGCAAGGGCATCACTCTTACACCAGATAAGAAGCTGCCGTCCTCGTCCCCTTCCAATGCCGCGTCCTGGACCCCCACGCCCGGCCGCTCTGACCAGTCCCTCTACATCAATGCGGCCAACTCGGATCAGT